CAAGTGACACCTACCCATGCATTATATTCGGTAATTGGGGTATGTGCTCGCATTTTCTTACACAAACTATCGAATTCTTGATGTATTGAAATTATCTACTTTCGCATTTCATATATATATTCTGCATTTAGACATTTTTATGTTTTGTAAAATAAAGTTATTATACATAAATTAAATTTTCTGTTTGAATGAGACTGGGATGAGCTTTAGATACTTATGGTTATACAAACTTTAAAGAAAACAAGAAATCCATTTTGCATACACATTTATAATTTTCTATTCGATTTTTTATTGTGACTCATGGAACCCCTGGGTAAGCCTCGTGGAACCCAAGGGTTCCGAGGAACACTGTTTGAAGACCACTGTTTTAGAGTATCTAGATACTAATCGGTAATTACTTTAGTCGTAACGAAATTACGTATAAAACAAAAGAATGAAATTTAAAAAAAAAGGAATATATGTAGAGATTTTTAATAGGTAAAAATTAGACTTGGAGTAAGATATTATAAAGAATTTCTTAAAAAATTATCAGATTAACGTAAAAATATGAAATTTGAAAAATGTTCTGAAGAAATTTAATAGTTTTTTGGAAGTTATATTCAGATGTTATTTTAATGAAATGCAATAACTTTCACACAGAGAAACGTGCAAAACGAAACAGGAATTTTAATTTCATGCTTTTTTTTCGTCAAGCATTATGGTGGAAAAACTAAAAAGAAATTAAATAAAACTAAATGAAATAACTCTCTTGTCACTGTATTTATTCCCCCCAAATTTCAATTTAAATGAATTTTAAAATATTTAAAATGTATCACCTCTTGTTTTAAAGTAATAACAATCGAGAAGTGTAAAAAGAAAATGTGTGTGTGTCTTTATTTTTATTTATAAATATTTTAAAATTACAATAAAAATATTCTAAATAATTTGACTTAAACTCACTATGGTAATTACTAAAAGTAACATTGATGTTTTCTATACTTCTATTCTAGTGTCTCAGGCATTTCGTAAGTGTGGTTCTAATTTAATTATCTGATTTTTAATTTTGCGAGTGATCTATCTCTCTTTTAACATAATGCTTTATGCACTTTCTATATCATTGCAATAAAAATTATTACTCTTCTTAAACGCATTTTTAGGTTTCTCTCTTTTTCACTATTATTTGAAGAAAATTGATTTCTTTTTTTATTCATCTGAAATGTTTTTGAAATGAAAAATGAATATATGTTTTCGTTAATATATATTTGTTAATAATGATTTTAACTATATATTTTAAAGAGAAATTTTTTTTACAATCACTAAGACATTTTTTTTTCTTTTCTTAGCATCCGTTGCTTCCGATTGTAAGTTGTTTTATATGTAATATTTTTATTATTCATAAATTAATATGCATTATTTTAATTCCGAGAATAAATCGAAATTTCGAAAAATTTAAGAACAAGTTATTTCCAAATTATATCAAAAATAATTATATGAAAAAGTATACAGATAAATTCTTATACTCATTGATATATTGAGCTAAAAATACACGCAAATAAAATATGTTAATTATTAATTCTTAAAATATGATTTAAAAAAACATAAGCAATCTATGCTCTTATCACTCAACCTGTTTGATTGTTAACGATATAGAAAAATGTAATAATTAAAGAGTTAGCACAGCGTTTCTCAAACTGGGGCGCACCCCCCTTAGAAGTCGTGATAACTCTACGAGGGGGGCGTGAGCATAATGAAAAGTCTAAAACAAAATATTATTTTAAAAAAAATTACTAATTTACTGAAAGTAAACAAAATACATTCTGACATAAAAAAGTAAAATATATATTTTTACACTGATATAGTATACTTATAAATGTATCAATACTACACAATGCAATTGATAATTAATATAACAATACAAAGTTAAGAATAAGTTTAATAATTACCAGTGACCCTATGGTCTTATCATATATAAAACTGAGTACAAAAATTAACACTTGATAATTTGTCCCGTTTATAATTAATCCCTTAACTGCCGAATAAAAGTTACGTAATTCGCTTCCCAATACCACAGGACATATTGTCAGGATCCTTTTATTGCGTTCCATAGCCTTCGGAATAATTTTAAGAAAATGAGAGCACAGAAAAGATCGTACTTCGGAAAGACGTATATATACGTCACGGAAAAATAACGCTTCGGCTGAGTGAGACGATTATATACGCCGGTGGCCCTTAAGAGCTTTAAGTCGTATTCTAGTTTTAGCATCAAAGTATGATATTGAATTCAATACATTGTTATTGTATGGAGGGGTGGAGCGCGTGATAAAAATTACGACTGAATATTTGGTCACAAACATTAGAAGTTTGAGAAGCACTGAGTTATCAAATTAAAATCTTGGAAAAAAATTTCAGATTTAAAAAAATAATTACCAAGATTATATAATGTTCTTTTTACTGTCTCACGTGCGTTACGAATTTTTATAATGTTGCAAATAATTTGCTAAAATACTAATAAATATAATACTTGAAAATTTATTTACAGCTGAAATAATGTGATCATGTGCATTAAAGTACTAATTATTATATATTTAGAAGATTTTTATTCGTATAATTGATTTTTCTGTTTATGGTATTAAGGTATCCGACTACGTTCGGAACCATGATTTCAAAAAAGCGTATGAATGGATAATTTTCGTGATATTTAGTGTCACTTAGATTAGAATACATGTATAAAATTGTTTTAAGGACATTTTTTGACAAAAAAAAATTATTTAACTACAATATTTTGGCAAAAAATTAACTTAGAATAACCTTTTTTTTCAAAATGTTCTCCTTTTATAAAAAAATGCTTCTAAAATAATAATATTTTGTGTGTGTGTGTGCTTATATAAAGTAAAGACTTCTCCAGAGAGTCTGAACTATTTTTTTAAAAAAATTTCTTTTTTTTCTTAAAATTTCTCCCTTCTGTTGTCGTAAAACATGGATAAACCCACTTCTAAGTTATATATTTCAAAAATTCTAGTTGAGCCTCTGTACAGAGGTCTGAGCTATATACAGGCAAAATATTATTATAATTGAAGCATTTTTCGCAAAAGGAGAATTTGAAAATGGGTCATTCTATGTTCATTTTTAGTTATTGTACTTAAATAATTTTTTATTGTAATACTATTCTTAAAACAATTTTATATACATTTTCTAATCTAAGTGACACTAAATATCAAAAATATTTATCCATTTATACACTTTTGCAAAATCCCAGTTCCGTACGTAGTCGAATACCTTAATATATATTTTTTGTTTCATAAATATAGCTAAATATATATTAATGTAAGAATCTCACACAAAAGTTTGGTTAAGAAAAAATAATAATTCAGGAAATTGGCAAGATTTTTTTGAAAAATTTTCTCCTTAGATAATTTTGGAGTTCATTTACTTATTCAAATTGTTGATACGATTAAATTGTTTATAATGAAGAAAATATTGAAAGAAAAATATTAAATTAAAAAACTAAATTCATAACATTTCTGAGTATCAGTATTTACGTTATTTTAAGGCAAATAAATCGAGATATCATAACTTTATCAGACTGAACGTGTTGGTACTCTATTAAATGACGTTTCATTAAAAGCTAAATAATTTTCTTCAAAGAAGAGATGTTTCACAGACAGAAAGGAACAGATCATATAGTTTTATATATTTACTTTTTCCTTCGGCAAGCTGGAAAAATTTTCTCCGACCCAACGTGGGTGTTGCACTTTCTCTTATTACACTTTTACCTGCTACTGGAGTTTCCAACGAACATTTTTCCTTCCAAGGAATTCAGAAACCCCTCGAATAGCTGAGTGAGTGAATATTAACGTCACACTGTTCAGCTACACTAGGGCTTTTGGTGACGGACCTCGTCATTCTGAACCATGGTCAGGTATCGCCCTCGACACCTGAGCTGGTACCACCTTCTCCTAACTACCACACCAACGGGAGGACTTTTGAGCTCTCGTCAGATTTAAGGTGCATCGCTCCCCTACATAGTGGATCTTTAGTGGTACTGGGCTCGAACTCGTGACATGCCAGCCACGATCCGATACCTTGACCACCTGGGCTACCGCTCAGGATCCTGGGGAAAAACCCTAGAATGCATTATAAGTTCCAATTATACCAGGTGACTATGTGGCCGCTGTAATCAACCTTTCATGATCATGATCTAGTGGTCAGAGTTGTTTCTGTCGTGTGTTCGTCCTTGTGCTACTGAATAAACTGATGTTCATTAAATCTATCGATCCTTCAAGTCTTCATGTCGGTGTGGTGTGAAAAGCCTGGTAAATGGGGTACAAACTCAGATGTCATACTTGTCACTAGACCGAGATTCAAAATTACGTGTCATCAGTTTCAAAGTGTGTGACGCGTTAGCACACAATCAATCTAACTTATGGTTATTACAAATGAAAAAGTTTTCTGTCCTTTTTATTAGAAACAAGTAATATAGAGAAAAAAAAATTAAGTCAATTCCTACTTAGGTCACAAAGAAAATTTTTATTTTATAGTTACTTTTTATTAAATAATTACAAACAGTGGCGCACACAAAGGGGGTGTCCTCGGGGTCCGGGCCCCCCCCCCCCCAAAAAACCCTTGATTTTTTTTTTCCAGATTGATTATATAATTTTAAGTATATAATACGTAAAATTTAATTAAATATTTGTTTTAATGATTAATTTTAATAATTAATACTAATTATTTATTCAATAATTAGTTTTTTACTGTTTTTTGTTCCCCAAAATCGACAAAATCAAAAGGAGCATGGTACAAGAATAGTAGACTTTCGACCCTGGGGGGGGGGGGGGGGGGGGGGGGGGGGCGGGGGGGGGGGGGGGGAGGGGGGGGGGCGGTACTAAAGTGGGGGGGGCGGAGGATCACTATATTAAGTGTCAAAAAAGAAAGAGATTTGCCATTTCTGTAAATGGTGTTGGACTATTGTTTTTGTTTGTTACTATTTATTCATTTATAAATCACATTCTCAGAAATTAGGCCACCCCAGGTGGGACTCAAACCCACGTCCTTTGAATGAGAAGTCCAACACACTATCCATTGTTCTACAGAGGTGACGTGTAGGGGAACGATGCACGTTAAATCTGTCGAGAGCTCAAACGTCCTCCCGTTGGTGTGGTAGTTAGGAGAGGAGGATGTCAGTTAAGGTGAAATCCACGTCACTTGACCATGATTCAAAATTACGTAGTTCGTAACCAAAAGACCTCGTGTAGCTGAACAGTGAGACGTTAATATTCACTTCTATCACTCGGTGCTACAGGGGCAGACCGAGCGATTTCCCTTTTTATATATGGTGTAGGCTTTTATTTTTGTTTGTTACTATTAAATGATTAATTAATTAATATTTGAAAAAAAAACTGTATTAACATCAAGTATCATCCACTACAAGTTTAAAAAAATATATTTGAACTTGAGTGAATGGATAAAAAGTATTTTATTAACGATTGTGAAAATTTGAACAAGATATATATAGGGAGAGAGTAAATTAACAGTAGGAATTGAAAAAAAAGATCAGAAATAGTTCATTACATATGTATGTTCTGCATCTTCTGAAAGGCGGCTTGGTGATATTCATTATCGTATGAATTCTACAGAACGAATATATTTTTGTTTGTTGAAAATAAATATTTTTCTTTAAAATGTTTGAGTATAAATTTTTGAAAATTGATAAGTTTTTGGTGTAAAAAGAAATGATTTATATCTGTTATTTAATATAAAGTGTTCTTTTTTTTAAAATTCTTTCTTTTCTATATTATAGCAGATGATAGTAAGTAGCTTTTTTTGTTAACCATTTTTTAAATAAATAAAAAAAAAAGATAAAATCTTAATATTTAATAGAGAATAATGATAGTTAAGAAAGAATCATTTATATATTTTTTATTGTGATCATTATCAAAATTTTTCTAAATTGTAACCTGTTATAAGCATTTCTAAGATTTTTTTATTTCGTGTTAACGCACTGTCCATTGCCTTGAGACTTGTTATGAATTTTTCATGGTCTCGAAATATTTGTTCAGTCACGTGGTTCTTTAGTTTCAGTTAAATCTCATTCGTGACGATAGAATTCTGCTATGATACAGCTTTATATGCATTAGTGATTACATATAACTTATTATCTGGTTAAACTCACGTCACACATCCGCGCGTACGAATACAGAGAATTTGTGTTTTCGAGAACAATGGTCATTTTTTAATGCTTCTGATATTTAGATGCCCTGCATATAATTAATTAAAAACATCAATTTTTAAGGCAGGAAGGTTTTTCCTATGATTACGTTTCATATAATGATACTGGAGACAGTTATAAAAAATAACTTTAACAACATCGTTTCGATTACACAGTGTTCTATGCATCATGTGTACAGGATGATTCTTTTCAAGCTGACGCTATTCAGAGTCACCTGCTCGATCCAACAAAAGAAATGACTCCGAACTTGGTGTGGAGATGAATGATGAGATGGGAAGTAGGATTCGGTAAAAAAGAATTTTAGTTTCAAAAATGACCGATTGGGGTATTTATAGTACTTTACAATGCAGAAAGTGTTAGAAACAGTGGCGCACACAGGAATTTTACAAGGAAGGGGGGGGGGGCAGGATCGAAAGTCCACCATTCTCGCATCATACTCCAATACACCGCCCAACATATTCTTTTGATTTTGTCGATTTTCGGGGACAAAAAACAATAAAAAATTTATTATTGAATAAATAATTAGTACCAGTGGCGCACACAAGGGGGTATCCTAGGCTTCCTGACAGCCCCCCAACCCCCAAAGCCCTTGATATTTTTTTTCCAATTGATTACAATTCTAAGTATACAGTACGTAAAATTTAATTAAATATTTGCGATTAATAATTAATTATTAATTAATGCTAGTTATTTATTCAATAATTAGTTTTTTACAGTTTTTTGTTCCCCCAAATCGACAAAATCAAAAGGAACATGATACAAGAATGGTAGACTTTCGACCCTGAACCCCCCCTTGAAAAATTCCTATGTGTGCTACTGATTAGCACTGATTAATAAAGTTAATTATTAATAACAAATACTGAATTAAATTTTATGTAATATATACATAGGATTATAATCAATCGGAAAAAAATCAAGAGATTTGGGGGAGGAGTCCGAACCCGAGGACTCCCCCCTCCCTTCCCTTGTGTGCGCCAATGGCTAGAAATGAAGCAAAAAATAGCAACGCATATAAAACAAAAGTGAAATGTCAAGTTTTATTCACTACATTCTCTTCTTCGGCTAATTCGCTCATATTCAATATGACCACAGTTATTTGCGCAATATTTTCAAAGGCCGTCTTCATGTCACAAGGAGTATTCCACGCTGTCTGTGATATGTGTATCAAAAATGGTTCCGTGTGTTCGACGATTACAGTTGCAGCATCTGTTATCACCTCTTCCGACACAGATTTTTATGTCCTCTACCTGAGCGAAATATCAGTGACTGTTTCTTTGAAATTCTTAATCATTCCTTTAAAAGCCCCCTTACGTAGTTTCTGTCGAGTTCCAAGATCACGAGGAGATGTGCATGATTAAAATAATACAGCTACAACAATAATGAGATAATAAGTGTCGTATATTCACTTAATTCGGCTCACTTCAAATAAAAATATTCTTCGAAGATGTCTACTTGTTTTTATAGTTCAAATTACAGACGCTGTTGTCGCATATCAAAGAATAAATTAGGATTTTGCTTTCATACTCGTGTTGTAAACGGCAACTGCGCCATAAATACCCCTATCGGCGATTTTTGAAACTACTTTTTTTTTACGGGATGTTACTTTTTATGTCATTATTATTTATTATTTATTATTATTAGTTTGATGTCATTGCGGTTGTTAAATCAAGCTACAGGTGGTTCTGAATAGTATCAGTTTAAAGAAAAAAAAAGAAATAACCCTGTATTTCTTTATTAGAAATTCTGAGAACAAAAGAGAAAAACACGACAAGAAATTTAAACTAATCAATGATCAATTCGAACAAGAAAGGGACACCTAACATCAGCAATTAATATTTACGTTATAATTAAGCTCTGAAAATAATTTTGAAAAAATGAAATAATTGCAATTTATTTCAGTATTTTAAGTCCGTTTTTTTTATAGAGCTTATACGTGTATAGTAAAATTCCCCCAAAATTTTTAAATCGTATGCATGGATAACACGCCTTTTGAAGTGTGTGAAACTAATAAATAAATGAAAAAAAACATCTACTTTGATGTTAAATAAACGATTCAGTATTTTAATATCCATTTTGAACATTCAGAAGAGGCGAGAAGATACTGAAATATTTACGAAGCCAAAAGAGAAAGTATACAAAAAATACTTTGAATATAATTTTTTATAGACCAAATTACGTAATGCAAAAATCAAGTTTCAATAAAACGTAAAGCAGTGACATATCATACGATTAATAGCTTATATCGAAACACCCACGTGTGTTGTTTTCCCTGCAGTGGTACTCTCCTTCTGTGAATAAGTTTTACAGGTGAAGCTCACCCGTAAAACTCGATTTCCTATAAAGAGAGGAGCACCGCAGGGAAAACAACACACGCGAATGTTTCAATGTACAGTGATCATCTACGATTGTGTTTGCGATGTAGAGTTCTCAGATTCGAACAATTGCGTGCCTTGGCAATAACACAGTATAAGTGGAACATAGCAAAAATTTTAATTAAAATAATTGAGAAATCGTGTAAGGATATACCAGAAAAATTCACCAATTATCATAAACTGATTAATAGTCTGATGTATATTTCAGAATTAATTCATTAATTTGAAATTCAAAATATTTTAAATATTGATCTAAATTTTCAAAAGAAAAAAAATTTGGGAATTAAAAAGCGTAATTTTGAAAATTTCAGCTCGTCACAGTGTGTGTGCTAAAACGGGAAATAGTTAAGAAAGAACACATGTTTTTTCCTCGATACCTTTTTTTTTCTTTCGAAGGATAATTGTTTCTAAGAAATTTAAAATCTTGCTGAAAGTTATCATTCCATACTTTTCTCCATTATTGCAGGATATTTACCATTAATTATTAATTAACAAAAATAATTTTTTTTCTCATTTGTTATGAAAATCTTTTTAACATAATTATTTATTGTATTTATTTCAGAGCTTCAGAGAGTCATCATTGATTCCTCAGAAGGAATGAGTAAGTTAAATTCCTTTTTATTGGTGAAAAACCGCAGAAGGGAAATTTTTCAAATGAATCATTCATACTCCTTTCTTTTAGGTAAAACTTTAAATTAAAGAAAATTTTTTAATAAAAATGCAAATTTGATAAACGAAAGAGCATTAATACATTTAATCGGTTCAATCAAGTGTTTTAAAATCTTTTTTTTTTTCGTATAACATCGGCTTTGACGAAAATTGAGACGGACTAGGGGACGTTTAAAACGGTCAAGGCCATGGGTCGGCAACCCCCCTGGGCTTTACATAGATGCTTGCACCTCTTCCGATTTTTGTGCCTCTATGAATTATTCGAAAAAATAATTATGTCTTCTAAAAAATTATTGTTTTTCTTTTCCCTTTATATCTTGAAAAAATGTACATGTATTTGCATATACATTTAAACATTTGATTGTCTTAAGACATTTACTTCTGTATTATCATAAAATACGGCTTATAATGCGCACTTTTAACACAAACAAGTAATATAAAAAAAATTTTATAAGTCAATTCCTGCTTCGATTAACATAGAAAAATTTTTATTTTAGCTATTTTTTATTAAATAGTTACAATTATTATAAATATGTATATAAGTAGGAGAGAATCACAACATTAAGTGGTAATTAATTTTTGTTAATTATCATTAAAGTATCGTATTGTCATCCAAAACAATTATGTATATAAAATTTCAGTTCAACTGAATGCACGTGAGAAAAAAATATTTTCAAGTTTTGACACAAGTCACCAAAAGGGTCGCTAAGTCACCAACGTGGCTGTGTGTATTTGTAATTCTTTAAATTATTAGTTTTAATCAATTAATTTTTATTAATCATAACTAAGTTATTGTATTGTCATCCAAAATAATCATGTCTGTAAAA